AGAGAGAGAGAGAGAGAGAGAGAGGAAGAAAGAAGAAAGAAGAAAGAAAGAAAGAAAGAAAGAAAGAAAGAAAGAAAGAAAGAAAGAAAGGAAGGAAGGAAGGAAGGAAGGAAGGAAGGAAGGAAGGAAGGAAGGAAGGAGAGAGACAAAACGAGGGCAAGAAGTGAAATTGAAAGTAATCTTGGTTTAATCTTTTAAGAAGAGCACATTTGACATCTGCATAATGTTATCTGAGGGACAGTGAAGATTATGTGGGTTTCGTTTCTTAAACGATTCAAAACTTTGTACCAAGGTCATCTGTCCCAGTTGTTAGGCCAGTAGCTCCAGCGTCTCCTGGAGCATTCCAATAATGGAGATACAGGCATCTGCTAGATTCCCAAATCAGAATCAGCTTTTGAACAAGTTCTACAGGAGATTTATACAAATATTAGTGTTTAAGGGCTGGGGAGCTAGTTCAGCAATCTCAGTGTCTGCCTGGAAAGTGCATCACTGTGAATCTGACATGCGTAGTGAGATCCTATAACAAAAATACATTAAAAAAATAAAGTTTAAGAATGTGCATCATTCATATAATGGTTAAGTTGGTGACACTTCACTGCAGCTATGTATTTGGTTTATATGTGTGAATGTCAGGCTAATAGTCATTTTAACACTATGCATTCTGTGGTTCTGCCTTTTCTCTTAATGAGAATCTTGGTCTTGTAAATTAGATTATTCATTTATATGGTCATATTTCTAACTTAATGCATAATTGGAATTTAGGCATCATTATAAATATAAATTCAATTTCAACTCAATAAAATTGATTTTCTTCAGAAATAAAAGAAGCTTGTGAAACAAAATTTATTGGATACACATTGTTCAATAAGACTATGTTTATAATTACATAGAAATATCTCAGTATCTTAATTTGATATCTATTATGGATGACAGCCAAGGTGAAGATTATGCATGTGGAATTCTGTATTTTCATCTGGGCATTTTATATTTCCATAGATTTAATAAAGCTTTAAGTTTATTGAGGGAAAAACCTAGTTGTTGCACTCTTCTCTGAGAATAAAACAACAAATAATTGTATGAGAAATAAAAACCATGTATTTTTTTCACTGATGTATCCCTTTTCTTTTCTTTTCTTTTCTTTTCTTTTCTTTTCTTTTCTTTTTGTATTTAGTACAGGGTCTCTCTACACAAATTGGACTCATAGCGATCCTCCTGTTTACAGCCTCCCAATTGCTGGGAATACAGGAGCACAACACAATGCCCAGTCGCAATTGCTGTCTCAGCATGCCCCAGGGGCAGGGCCAGCACAGCAGGCCAGGGGATTGAACTCCTGGCCCCTGTATCTGCCTAAGCAGGTGCTTTAATCTGTTGAGCTATTTAGCTGGCCCTCACTGATGTATCTTTAAGTACATTAATAAAAATACATCATAAAAAGAATACAGGTTGGGTTATGAGAATTCCAAGTTGGAAACAAGTCTGGAAAACTAAGTGAGACCTTGTTTCAAAAAAAAATAATAATAATAGTAATAATAATGGGCTGGAGATATAGCACAGTGTTAGAATGTTCCTATATTTCATCCCCAGGACCACAAATACAAATGAGATAATTGAATTTTTTTTTAATTTTTTTTTAATTTTTATTTATTTGAGAGAGAGAGAGAGAGAGAGAGAGAGAGAGAG